GGTTACTTAAATTGAATATATACAATAATTAAAGAATATGCATGCTAGGATCTTGACTGTTTACTTTGAAGCATGCATTTATATTTAGATTTTCAAAGAATTTGTATTGGGTGAGGATGAATCAATTCTTTGTTCTCTTTCAAAGCAAACAGACGTGTTCTACGATTAGCGGTCCGCGGACTTTATTGTTTTGCAAAAGGTTTTGCAGTCTTTTAATTAAACACCTTTTATGTAAAGCAAAAAGTCTGGAAAAATGCCGAAAACTCAAGAACGTTGCCGCAAACAAACTTCTTTGAAAAGTAATGATGAAGTAGGGGTTTCTGTAGCATAGGTAAAATTATTTGCGGAGCTATCCAAACGGACTGTGCGTCAAATAGGCGAAAAAATTTTGTTTCATCTTAGTTAAATCGAAGCTAGAAGGATAATTATTTATATGGTGTATCCTTAGCACGAATGCCTCATACGAGGAGAATATGCAGGAGCTGCGCAAGGATAGCGTGTCCTTCGGAATACTTATGACCCTGAATACTCTGCTGATGCTCTTCTCCGGAGTTTACTACGTGGATGCCTTCAACAGATTGGCTCTGAAACTCACAGTCCGCATGCGAAGGGAATTCTTCAAGGCCACTTTAAGACAGGAGATCGGATGGCACGACATGGCCAAGGATCACAACTTTGCCGTTCGCATAACTGAGTGAGTAAAGTTGAGCAGCTATTTGAAGATATTTGTTAACCCGATTTATGTTTAGCAACATGGAGAAAATACGCAGTGGCATAGCTGAAAACCTGGGTCACTATGTGGAGATCATGTGCGATGTCTCAATCAGTGTAGTTCTCTCCTTCATCTACGGATGGAAATTAGCTCTGGCAATAGTGTTCTATATACCCCTCACCCTGGTAGTCAACTCGGCAGTGGCCCATGTAAGTTAATTAAAGCCACTAAAATTAGATTTTAAAAATATTCAAAAGAGAACTTTTCCTACAACCGAGTGTTTGTTCTCAAGAGCTTTCAATGAACTTGGCCAATATGTTGGCATTTCCGAAAATAGATCAAATCGCTCTACTCGGAATGAAAGCATATATTTCTCGCGAATTTTACACACGAATGAGTGAGGAAACAAATAAAATGTGGCAATGATTGTTTATGTTCATCTACATACCTTTCAATTTGTTTGTAGTACCAAGGTAAGCTGACGGGCCAGGAGCAAAGTTCCTATGTCCGAGCCAGCTCTGTGGTGGAGGAAGTCATTGGAGCCATCCGGACTGTGGTGGCATTTGGAGGAGAACGAACAGAGTCCCTGCGCTATGATACTCTGCTGAAACCCGCTCTCAAGGCTGGGAAGTGGAAAGGAGCCTTCTCCGGACTGAGTGACACGGTGATGAAAGCCATGTTGTTTATCACAGGAGCGGGATCTTTCTGGTACGGAGCTAATTTGATCCTCTTCTACCGGGATCCTAGCATTCCCATTGACGAGAGGGAGTACACGCCAGCGGTTGTGATGATTGTGATATCGGGTATAATCGTAAGTGCCAATCAAATATCCCGAACCTCACCGTTTTTGGAGACATTCGCCATGGCTCGAGGATCGGCATCAGCCATATTGGATGTTATAGATCGAACATCCTTGATTGATCCACTCTCCAAGGCTGGGAAAATCCTGAACTATGGCCTGAAAGGAGCCGTAGAGTTCCGCGATGTGTTCTTCCGGTATCCTGCCAGAGAAGATGTTATTGTTCTGCGTGGTCTGAATGTGGTCGTCAAGGAAGGTCAAACTGTGGCCCTGGTGGGTCCTTCGGGATGTGGCAAGTCCACTTGCATACAGCTGTTGCAGCGCTTCTATGATCCCGTCTTTGGACAAGTTCTATTGGACGGTGAGGATGTCCGGAAGTATAACATCAAGTGGCTGCGTTCGAACATTGCCGTGGTGGGTCAGGAACCCGTTCTCTTTCAAGGAACAATTGGTGAAAATATCCGGCATGGAAAGCCAGAAGCCACACAAAAGGAAGTCGAGGACGCAGCTAAAGCCGCCAATGCTCACGATTTTATCGTAGCCCTACATAAGGTAAGTCTTGAGTACTCTGTTTTTAAGAGTCTACTATAAAATGCAGTCAACTTTAAGGGTTACGATACGGACATCAGCGAGAAGGGCGTTCAACTTTCTGGAGGTCAGCGGCAGCGCATTGCAATCGCTAGGGCTCTGATTCAGCAGCCAAAAATCCTGCTTTTGGATGAGGCCACCTCCGCCTTGGATTACCATTCCGAGAAGCTGGTGCAGGCTGCGCTGGACAAGGCCTGCAAGGGTAGAACCACCTTGGTGGTGTCCCATCGCCTTTCGGCCATCAGACACGCCCATCGAATTGTATATATTGAAAACGGCAAAGCCGTTGAGCAAGGCACTCATGAGGAGTTGATGAAACTGGAGGGATTCTATCATAAAATGGTCACCGTGCATGCCTACGATGACTCGGCCGAGGAGCTACTAAATGAACTGGAAGAAGTGGCCGAGATCAAGGAGAGAAAAATGTCCTATGAAGTTGAACCTTACCAACTGGGCACCCGAAACTCCATTGTGTCGCTGGAAAAGAATGCCGAGTTTCAGATGAAGAACTTAAATGGCCTGGCCAATATAACTTTGAATCAGGAATTTGAGGATCCGGGAGTGCCATCCGGAAATTATATTAGCACGTTCTTTCGCATCCTGGGTTGGGCTCGACCAGAGTGGAGCTTTCTCATTATTGGCGCCATTTGTGCGGGACTTTATGGAGTCACCATGCCGGTGTTTTCCGTAGTTCTGGCTGAGCTATATGGATCGTTGGCCAAGCCAACGGACGAGGAAGTACTTGACCAAAGTGCGTCCATGGCCATCGTCTCCCTGGTGATTGGAATCGCAGCTGGCGTAGTCTGCTACATCCAGACATTTTTCTTTAATCTGGCTGGAGTCTGGCTAACAACGCGAATGCGGTGAGTTCATAAAAGTGCCTTCCTCCTCTACGTTTTTATTTGAAATCTCTTGTTGCACAGCTCCAAGACCTTTAGATGCATCATGAACCAGGAGATGGGATGGTTCGATCGCAAGGAGAACAGTATTGGTGCCCTTTCTGCCCGACTATCCGGCGATGCGGCCAGTGTTCAAGGAGCCATTGGTTTTCCGCTGAGCAACATCATCCAGGCGTTTACCAACTTCATCTGCAGTATTGCGATTGCCTTTCCCTACTCCTGGGAACTGGCCCTAATTTGCCTGAGCACCTCGCCCTTCATGATTGCATCCATTGTGTTCGAGGCTCGATTTGGCGAGAAATCGGCCTTGAAAGAGAAGGAGGTACTGGAGGAAACCAGTCGCATAGCCACCGAAACAATTACTCAAATTCGGACAGTTGCTGGCCTACGGCGAGAGGAGGATCTGATAAGGATATATGACAATGAGGTGGAGCGATATCGGATGCAGATCCTTAGTCGCCTGAAATGGCGAGGTCTGGTCAATTCCTTGGGCAAATCCCTCATGTTCTTCGGCTACGCAGTGACCTTGACATATGGTGGGCACATGTGTGCTGATGGCAAAATCAAATTCGAGACGATTATGAAGTGGGTTATTGCGAAAAACGCAGCGTAGATCAACTACTAAATATTTCATTTTCAGAATATCCAACACAATGCTGTATGGTCTATTTATTCTGGCCCAATCTCTTGCCTTCACACCAGCCTTCAATGCAGCTCTCCTTTCCGCAAATCGAATGTATGAGATCATTGATCGCAAGCCACAGATCCAATCACCCGACTCTTTCGAGATCCAAAAGAATGGCAATGTAACGGCTTACAAGACAAATGCCGTACAGCAAGGAGTCAGCTATCGTGGCCTCAACTTCTCCTATCCCTCAAGACCCCATATCAAAGTCCTGCAGAACTTCAATCTGGATATCAATCAGGGTCAGACGGTTGCCTTGGTGGGTGCTTCGGGATCGGGAAAATCCACGTGCGTACAGCTATTGATGCGGTACTACGATCCCGATGAGGGCAAGATTGTGAGTAGCTTTAAAGGGCAAAGAAATTAAATTAGCTACTATATTAGATATTTACTTTGCTCTCTCTTTTCAGCTCATAGACCAAGAGAGCATCCACCACGACATGGACCTAAAAACTCTACGTCGGCGCCTGGGCATTGTGTCCCAGGAACCTTCACTTTTCGAGAAGTCCATCGCGGATAATATTGGCTATGGAGATACTTCGCGACAGGTGCCCATGCAGCAAATAATTGAGGCGGCCAAAATGGCCAATGCCCATGAATTCATTATGTCTCTGCCCGCTCAGTATGACACGGTTTTGGGCGCCAAGGGCACCCAACTTTCCGGTGGGCAAAAGCAAAGAATTGCTATTGCTCGAGCGATGGTAAGGAATCCCAAGATCCTTCTGCTGGACGAAGCCACCTCTGCGCTGGATTTCCAAAGTGAAAGGGTGAGTTTTCCATTTATTCAGATAATGTAATCTAATTAACTCAAATGTTATTATTTCCATTCCAGGTGGTGCAACAAGCCTTGGACTCGGCATGTTCAGGCCGAACATGTATTGTAATAGCTCATCGCCTGTCCACCATCCAAAATGCCAATGTGATTTGTGTAATTCAAGCCGGAAAGATAGTGGAGCAGGGCACTCACTCGCAACTGCTGGCCAAGAATGGCATTTATTCCAAGCTCTATCGCTGTCAGACGAAAGCCTCTTGAAGAGACTGCATAAGGACCAGAAAATATCATTAAAATGAAGTTGGAAAACATTTTTCTAGAAATACTTCGATGCACGAAAGTAGGCTATCAAATTTTCCTAGCTGTTAGTTGGGACGACAACCAATCTAATTTGGCCATAGGCATGAAACATTCGAAATAGTTGTTAAATAAATGATACATTGAAAAAAAACTAAATCGCTTTTTTTAAACCTCTGGCATGACATAAAAAATGTTTGAAGTGGGATCAATCAATATCAACAATTATTGTGACATGTATACCATAATTCAATTTTAGGTGCTCGAGTTTTATCTTATCTCTTAATATGGCAAAATTCGTTCACTTTTGTTTAAATTTGTGATAAGATATGATAGTAACCCTATCCGCTTATTATTTTGTTAACGCCGGTCTTATTTAGTTGCCGCATTGCGATTTGTCATTTCATTGCGAAAGGTTTGGGTTTTCCAGAATGAACGCAGTTGTCATTTTCTTAATATTTCTGGGTGAGATTTTATGAAAAAAAATAGTAGTAACTTTATAAAGATGTCCTTCCTCAAAACAGCGTGTTGCTTTGGAGCGAATATTCCTATAAATCCGTGCCTGATGGAAAGAAAGTGCGATAAGGTGGATGAGACAAGTGCCATTTGCGGATTAGATGATGAAAGGGGTTGTATTCGAAAGTTTCCATCAAAGTGTTTTTTGGATATGGCATTTTGTATTGAGGGAAAAAGTATGTCCAATTATTTCACTTTAAGTTCGCTTATTATTAATGTATTTCATTTAAGATTTCACCGACTTTAGTGAGGAATATTGCTCAATGGAATCGTATCTCTGTGAAATTTCGCCCACATACGAACGCTGGACCATTTTCTTTGGGCATGAGAATTAGTTATAATTCTATTTTCTATTTCCACACTATAATTAAAGTGTGAAAAGCGCTGCATTACTACGCTTATATGATTAGATCGTGAAATACTAGTGTAAAACTATTTCCAATATTAAATTATTTTGTTGTTCCAAGTGCATTATCATGTAATATGAAATTAGACTCACTTGATCGAAATGTTTTGGTTTAACTTCAACAACTTTGAAAGGTCAACGTCAAAACATATAAATAAGAGACATTGTCGGCATAATGTACTATATACAGTGCCAGGCCTACCAGCTTGTGAAACTTTTGGTTGGCGACGAGGAATAGTGAGTGACAACTTGGCTGATCCCCAACGTCACATTTGTAAGTTCATTAGGTAGCATTTCAATAAACAATCAATCAACGCACAACGGGCCATTCACGTGTTCGTCGTCGTTGACTACGTCAAAGACCGGTAGGAGATAACCGATGCCCAGCAGCGTATTTTCCCACTCAGTGAGACAGAACGACGCCTCGAGCCTTTTATACGACTTTATTCGGATTTTTTCTGATCTTTTTTTATCTTTGATTTTTTTTTCGTTATTTTTGGGTCTTCGACGGGTGCTTTGCATAATCTCCCGCCGCGGCGCCACTGCCCATTGGCCTCCTCCTTGAACGCCAATCAGCGAAGAGCTCCAGACTGGTTCACATGCATATATAAAAAGTGGAGCCATCCGAATTTTGTTTGTCAGTTAATGCCCATCAATCGAATCAATCGAATCAATCCCACCACAGCCATGGGTAGCGCGTCGCTAAAGTTCTATCTGATATGTCTGCTAGTTGTCTGCGGTTAGTGTTATTACTAAAATAGTTACACGTCAAATGCAATTACCCATGTACGAATTTTGCAGTGATCGGTTGGAGTGCTGGAGCACCCAGTGCGCAACTTTCACGGAAGGAACTCGAGGATCGGTATCGAGAAAAGCCGCCGGTGCCCGATGAGCGAAATGCAGATGCAGAATTGGATAATGCCTTCGATCGGAATACCAAAAGACCTTGAAGTCCGAATCTGAATGGCCAGAGCCACCCTACGCACCCTATTTGGAGTGCCTCTTTTTATGTCGTATTCAGGGTTATGGCTATGTAGTTCTAAGCTTAGGCAAAATGTACAAGCTTAAAATAAAGCAATTACTTGGGTGAAACGTGCGCATCGTTACTTTCCATTCTATCACGTAGAATGTGGGGCGACATCCGCCGTCGGCTGGCGTCTATAAAATCTCAGCTCTCTGGCATTCGATTCAGTCAGTTATCAATCTCGGGCTAGTGCGAAAAGTACAATTACAATGACCTCAGAAAGCAAGATGGTTTTGCTCTTCCTTATCGGATGTCTCGTCATGCAGACAAGTGAGTCACTGGATCATTTGTATTATATTATTTTTACACCTTACCGCCTTTTCTTTCTAGTCAACACCCTGTCATTCGATAGATTCAGCCGGGAGGATGATGAGCGGATCAACGATATCAGCGGTGAATGGTTCAAGAAACCCATCCTCAGGTTCGATCGCCTCTTTGACACCGAAAATTCGCCGTCGGGAAGTCGGAAAGAAGTGAGCAGGCCCAGCAGAAGCGATAAGGGCGAAACCACCGAGAGCTCCAAGCACGCCCATTCCATGATCACCTCGATGCTCGGATTCGTGAGCAGTGTCATCAACTTTGGCAGAAGCTTCATAAGGGATCAATAGAAAATATCCTAGTCCGATTCAATTAACTTTTATGTTTATTGCCAAATTTGTATTACTTGTTGCCAAATGTTGTAGGTTTAAGTATTGTTGAAGTTCCAAAATAAAAGATTTGGTTTAAAACTGATATAAGTTGGATGTGTTTTCGGAGGTTTTGTCTTTATAAGTGGATGTAACAGAAATCTTCTCTAAATCTTTTTCTTATAATCAACCAAAAAAGTGTAAATTGGGCACTTGCTCAGAAAACCAGAGCAAATTTACTTGATAGAACTCACCGATGCATTTTTTGCATTTAGATTCGCAACAATTCGCAGGAACAAACCGAAATTGTCTTTTCTAAACATTATCTTATACTTAATGTAATCTTTAAAAAATCACTTTTCCTAGAGTGCAATATATGTTTTTCTTAAAATTATTCTATGAATCTTCATATTTAATAAGAGTAAGTAAGTAAAGCAATTACCATATTTCGATTTTAAATGTGGCAATTTAACTTAATAGTGGTGCACAATTTGTCGTTTAATACACTTAACAGTTTTATTTAACACCGTTGTAAGATTTCCACGCGGTATTTTCAAATTCGAGACATAATAATTTGAAACTCATTTCAAAACTAATCACAATAATACATTTTTCACCGATACTCACAAGTTTACAACTCATTTACAAACTCTCTCTTACACAGATAAAACTAGGACACGATATATTTTGGAAACTTTTTAACAAGAACAAAAAGAGGTCTCCGTTTCTCAAATTCATACAAGATTAACGTTCGAGCGATTAAGTTATAAATTCATACTTTCTGTTTACCTCTATTGCTTTTTTCACTCTTTTGCCACACACGACTCTTAGCGAATGAAAAAGGTGTGAATATGGATATAAAGTTAAGAGGGGTATTTATAGGAAAATGTTACCGCCAAAAAAACGTCATAAAATCACGCATCTGTTACCAAACCGCTTCCGCCATTGGACTTGACCCATCTTTATAATAAATATATAAAAACAAAACGGATAACAAGTTGTGAGCATTTTGCGGGCAGAACTCAAATTAATCATATTAATGAATGGAGCCGAGGTGTTGAGCGTAAAGGAATGACGTCTCTATCGATCAAGCCCTCTAATGATGTCGGGGGTTTTTTTCGCTACTGAATTCGAGAAATTTATTTCTTAAGGCGCTTATGTGTGACGACACGAATGGTGCGAGTGGACAAATGCTAATAATATGAATTTTGTTCGCTTTGTTTTATTTACACATTTATTTTCTTTTTCTATGCAAACTTGTTCGCGAATTGCTTAGCCGGCTTTAATTGTAAATATTGACTTATTTGGACAGTCATGACAAGACCTTGTCGGTGATACTTTCAACGCGCTGGCCGGGATTTCTTTTCGAGGGGAAAATCCAAGGCTCAGCACCATTTAGCTCTAGCGTGTAATTCTATAGAACAGCGACTTGGTTCCGATCGAGTGAGTAGCCCCCGAAATCAACTTGAAATTGAATGCTGCTTGCCCGTGGATTTCTTTTGGCTACACAGGGAGAAATGGTTGCAGTAATGGTTGAGTAGCTAGTTCTAAAATTATTCAATTTTGAAACATTGTACATGTTCATGTTCATTTTCTTTCTGTGTAGGGTTGCGCAAATTGCCTGAAGGTTACAACAGAGCCCGTTACAATTGCAGTGCTTGTGTGGGTGTAATACGTTTTATTTGATCACATAACAAAAGACTTGAGCAACGAACTTGTTTGACAGGATGAAAAACTGTATCTATTCTGTAAGGGTGTTTGGCTCCGCTTCCCAGTATCTCTAGCTAACCTCCAGCAAATGGTACTTGAACATTTTATTCAATGAACTCATGTTCTGGGACAACTCGTTGCAGACCCGGACCACGCAGCCTTCAAAGGAAGATAGTGATGAAATAACGTATTTAACACCTGGCCAGAACACTCTCACTAACCCACTAGATACTTGATCACTCGCAGCAGCACCATGGCGATAAAGTCGAGAACTCAAAGAACTGCCTTCATGCACACGCGACAAGACTTAGAACCAAATTGAACGCGAGTCTGCGCATGCAATCGCGAATAAGTGAAATCATTTGGTGAGCGGCAGCTGCGTTGACGTCGCCGTCGGCAGAGACGGCACAGTGGAGCAAATTGGATGGACAAAAGGTCGTGCCACTTAGAGGCGTTGGGGTTTTTATGAGCTAATTAGCACATAAAGTCAAATTGAAATATGAATTTGCCGCGTAATCGCTAAATGTGCATATAGTAAAAAAGCTTGAAATTAACTTGCTCCACTGTGCACATCACTGGTTTCACTTCGTATTTGGCCAAGTGCAAATACATTTAATCACATTTCCTCTCTACTGTGCAGAAAAAGTTTGTTGCTGGGTTAACAATAAATATTTATTCTTTTTTGAGTACTTATTTACACACATTATATTTTTAGCAAGTGGGTGTCAATTAGCCATGCAACGTTATTGTTAATTATCTTTCTTCATTTGTTTTGTACTGTGCAAGCATTTTTTGTTCACACTGCAGTCGGTGAATTTCGATGAATTTTTTCTACAAATATTTGCCACTCTTACCTGATTTTCAAGTTAATAATTATGGTGTTAACATCTGAAAAATCTATTCAAATGTATTTTGTCATGATTTAAAATTGATTTCATTGTTAATTTTATACAAAAAAAAATGATTTAATTGTTAATTTTGTAAAAAAAAGCAAGGAAACCTATAGCTTTGACTGTATAACTAGGAAAGATATCTGCGTCTGCTACTTTACGATCCACTGTGCAGCTGCTGTGTGGGCTAAGCTAAATCGAGAACTTCTTGTTGATGTTGCAATCGGCGAATTTTTTCCTCATTTTTTACAAGCACATAACATATATCCATTAATTTTTTCGGCAATATTCATTTGCGTGCATTGCATAAGGCAAAGGCGCAGAACTGCGCGATGCGAATTACGTCATCAGAACTCGTTTACATGCAGCAATGAGTCGCTGAGAAGCTGCAGCGCAGGCGCAGCAATTGAGGCCAAAAATAAAAAGAACTGGCCGTTCTGACACTCGGCGTAGTCTTTATCAATGCAATTACTTATGTCATTGCAAACGGCGGAAAACGAGTTTCGCTACAACCAATACAGTTACCGAAAAAATGAAAATAAAAAACGCCAAATCCACATAGCCCCAACGCTTTGGTCATGAATTTTGCACAATATTTAGCTGTGATCGTGATTTTCAATAGTTGCTGCTACAAGCTAGTCTCTGCATTTGGCTCATTTAATCGGTATAGCAATAAACTTCAAGTTTTCGTCGATTGTGGGCTGAAACTGAGCGGCGAGCTGCAATTTATGGCATTTCTGCGCTTTATTCGATTCTTCGGTCAGGCCTGAGTGAATATTGTAGCAGTTATTTCCCTTTAACAACAACCATTTTAGTAAGCTGTAACACTTCTGGTTAAACGAAAGGTGGCAATGGCTTAATGGAAAATCATTTAAATAAGTTGGATTTTAAATGCTACACGAATGGCTGAGCATATATAAATTTAATTACATTACAGGTTGCAAAAAAAACTTAATAAAAATATTTGGTGACTAATAGCAGCACTTTTAAAATAACTTATGCATCGTGAAGTAATATTCCGTAATAGTCCGTCAAAAGAAACTGCTACATTATTTTGATTCTTTAAAAACACATTTTTCTAAAGAAGAACGCCTTTTTCACAAGCTAAAACATATTATCAATTTAAGAACAGAAATTTAGGCTAGTTTAACGCCAGAAAGTATGCTATGATTTTATACAGCTGTGGGTGAGCTATAGTCAGGACATCATTTTCAATTTGTAAAGATTTTTCGACCATCCGTTTCCATAAAGTTTGTCCAGAAATTCTTAAGCATAAACGCTTAAGGTGTAGTACAATTATTTAATGTTAGAGTATAAGGCAATCTTTATTTACGGAAGGCGTTGATCCATTCCACAACGTTCCCCGATTACAACGAACCAGTTTTACGTTTTGTTTTGTTCCGATTCCGCGGCCCCAAACCGGCCGGCGAATGAGAAAAACAACAAACAGCTGAAAAAGAGTTTGTTTATACATACGTTCAGAGCAAAACAAAATCGGATAGACGGCCGTTCTCTCTGCTACATAAAGTCCCAAAGACGAGAGAACCCGATCGAGCGGCTACGAACATCAAAGTTTTTGCGGCCTCGGGAAAACTTCTCGCTGCAGTTCAATCAGTTGCTCACAACACGCAGTCCGGGTTAGATGGGCTCCCAAATTATATGAAAGGCCATCATGCAATCGGAATTATCGAATTTATTATATGGTATTATTAAATTTCGTCATTTACAAATCAACGAAATCCCATTAATTATAACGTTCCGGTGATCAAGGTTAATAAAATAATATATATCCAGAATAATATTATAGTTTAGACAGCGGCATAATAGAAAAAGCACTAAATTACAT